GCGCATCGTATATTTCAGTTCGAATTTCTGCCAAACAGAACGAGAACCTAATACTGCGACTAGATATCTTCAAACAATATAAAAAAAACAAACATTTTGACACCGAATTTGTTGGAACATCCAATTTTTTAAGGCAACTTCTCTCTTGTGAGTTGACCGCGCAACCTCTCTTTCAATTCGAATTTCTGCCATACGGAACGAGCACCTAATTCAGCGACTAGATATCTTTAAGTATTATTAAAAAACAAACATTTTGACACCGAATTTATTGGAGCACCTAATTTTTTAAGGCAACTTCTCTTTTGCGAGTTGACCGTGCAACCTCTCTTTCAGTTCGAATTTCTGCCAAACAGAACGAACACCTAATTTGGCGACTAGATATCTTTAAATAATATAAAAAAACAAACATTTTGACAACCAATTTGTTGGCGCACCTAATTTTTTATGGCAACTTCTCTGCTGTGAATTGACCGCGCCACTTATATTTTAGTTTAAATTTCTGCCAAACGGAACGAGCACCTAATTCGGCGACTTGGTATCTTTAAATAACATAAAAAAACAAACATTTTGACACCGAATTTGTTGTAGCACCTAATTTTTTAAGGCAACTTGCCTCTTGTAAGCCGACTGTTCGACTGATACCTAATTTCTGTATATAATTCTGGATATGATATATATTTTCGAATTATTTTGGTCGTTCCTTGGAGCACCTAATTAGCACCTAATTCTAGTTTATTTGTTTTGTTTGTTTACGCAGTAATTATCAATTTTTTTTATTGTGTTGCTAGCTTACTATTAAACTAGCCTCCCAAAAAATTTTTTTTTTCTGCCAAACGGTTCGAGCACCTAATTTCGCACTTCGGCACCTAATTAGCACCTAATTAGCACTTAATTTTGGTATATGTAGGAATTCATTTTTCGCTGGTGGGGGGGCTAGCTTAACAGGGGTCTCGAAACACGGTGTAGGAAAATCTCTGGAAAATCCAAAAGATCCGACTTTAGTTTCATCACGCCTTGCGTGATAAGTTAGAAGTTTGACTGTCACGTTTTCACAGGTGGCACGTATGTGTGTATGTAGTAGTATGTATGGAGTAGGTGCACACGTGTGACCTGTGACCACGTGACAATCAATACTTCTAACTTTTCCCGTAAAGCGTGATGGCGCTAAAATAACATTTTCTGTAGAGTCCCTATAATAAGAATCAAGACATAAGACCGGAAGGACGCCATTGCTAGGTGCCGACCGGGAACAGCACAAATAACGCGTAGCACAAATAGACGAGTTCGCGCCTGTTTCTACTACTACACCATGAAACAGTTACTCACACCTATTCACAGATTCACTAACACATCGAAAGCGCCTAGAAATGGCGGCGACCAATTACAAGGGCATCGCCCTTCATGTCTTGACTCTTATTATAGAGACTCTAGAGAAGAGTAGCGGAGGAGTCCTAGACTTATAGAAGGCTAGAGTCCTAGATTTATCAAAGAGGCGCAACCGGCTTAAGTCAGTATGACAAAGGTGCTAAGGAGAGTACTAAACATGGCCTACATGCTATGAAACTGCCTTTAAACTATGTCAACAATATAAGACGTGTAGGATAATGTGAGATAGAATGTATAGGATAAAATGAAATAGAAATATGTCACTAGTACTATAAATGGCTGCCAAGTCATGCAATTG